TAGGAGGTCTTAAATACAAGCTTATAGGACAATGGGAGGACCCCGGAGGGCAGAAGTTCGCTACTGATGTTTTACAATCTTGCATCTAAGCTGTTAAGGTCCATTATTCAGGATACACAGACAAGGAACTTCCCTTAAGCATTCAGGAGGGTGGAACCTGACAGGGAATTAGCATTGGGAGGATATCAAGGTCAAGGTCCGCAAGCAAGGCAACAGTTACCCAAAACGGGGGCCAGGATCCTGCAGGTCTCCCTTTTATTAAAAAGTGAGCTTCTGACTTGGGTTGTGTGGGACATCAGCAGGTCACCTTACCCATCATGGAGACACCTGCCCAGGCCACACAGGTGCTCTGTCTTAGGTTGGTGAGTGCCCCCCAGGCATTACCCATCTCTAAATACTCATTATCATACCAGCTCAATGGTGTGTGAGCTGCATGGTTAATTGCTGCCAAAGATCTCAAAGTGGCACTGGGCTTGCAATCTGTGTGTTTGATACAGAAAAGACCAACAGAGGTCCTATCTCACCCATAGTCAGTAGGCTAAAGGCAACTGAGCCATTCCTTTCCTTATCAAGTCATATACTGTACGTTGGAGTCCCTGTAAGATAGTATGCCAAAAGCAACTGGAACTTGAGTTTATAAATTTATAATTTTCAAAGCCAAGCGAGATGTATATAACTACTGAATTAAATTTATCATGCCCAATAGAATGAAAGATTAACTGTGGTAGCTACTTTTGTTGCCAGGGTCTCCACTGTGCTAGCTATAGTAAGCAATTATGAAATGGTAATCCCAGAAACAGTAGCAGCAGTGTGCGCCATTGTTACAGCAACAACAGTGGCAGCAGCAATGTCAAATTCTCATCTGGATTGTGTGGACATCCACTGGCATAGATACAACTCCAGGAACACGAACGACCAAGGCCCGTTTTTCTTGATCCCAGCATGACTTTGGCTGGCAGCCCTTCTGAAGAATCCAATCTCATGGCTACAGTTCTTAGGCTTACATTAATGCTTGCTAAAGCTGGCCATATTGGGCTCTCAATCTCCATTGGCATCAGAAGGGTAGATTTTTTTCATGATGACCCATTAGGTCTCTGTCATGTTGGGCTTCAGCAGCAGCCACAGGGTGCATTCAGTGCTCAGGAATCCAAAGAAGAACCTCATTGTCCTGAGGAAAGACATAAAACAAACTCCAGGGCCACACCAACACTAGATCAGGTCTCCTCCATGTGCTAGTAGAAAGATCCTTCCATTGCTCCAGAGGGTGATTTGCAACAGGAGCCCTCCAGTGCTTATCTGCATCGGATCCTCTAGCAGAATCCACTGATAAACTCCAGCAGAATCCACCAATAAAAAATTTAAAATATATAAAAGAAGGGAAAGAATAGAATGTGGAGAGGAATGATGAGTCCCTAGTTCTCCCTTTTTTAAACTTTAGTAAAATGTTTGTTTAATATTTCAAATTTTTCTATTTTATTTATTTTTTATTGTTTAAAATTAATTAATTTATTTATTTTTCTATTGTCATCTTGATAGAGTATGTATTCTTGTCTGAAT